GTCTCTCCCTCTCCCTCTCTCCCTCTCTCCCTCTCTGTCTTTGGTTTTGTAGAATGGGGTTTCTCTGTGTAGCTTTGGTTGTTCTAGAACTTGCTCTGTAGATCAGTCTGACCTGCCTCTGCCTCCCCAGGGCTGGGATTAAAGGCCTTCCTGTCCCACCACTGCCTGACTCTTTTTTTATTATTATTATTTTATTTATTTTATGTGCATGGGTGTTTTGCTTGCATGTATGTCTGTGTGAGAGTGTTGGATCCCCTGGAACTGGAGTTACAGTTATAGGCTGCCATGTGGGTGTTGGGAGTTGAACCTGGGTCTTCTGGAAGAGCAGTCAGTGCTCTTAATCACTGAGCCATCTCTCCAGTCCTACATATCTTTTAAAAATTACACTTATTTACTTATTTGGGGGGGGCACTTTCACCATGATGTACGTGTAGAAGCCAGAGGACAACTTTCAGAAGTTCTCTCTTTCTACCATCTGGGGGTCTGGCAATTGAAGTCAGGTCATGAGGCTTGGCAGCAAGGGGCTTCACCTGCTGAGCTACCTTGCTGGTGTCCCTACATATCTTTTCAATTATTTTTATTCTATTGTGACAAATAACTCTGTGTTAAATAGTCACTTGCCAAACAGAAACGTGTGCTCCAGTTTTGGGGCACACACCAGGACCTGTTCACCTGAGTGGTCCTCTCACCCCACCCTTCAGGGCTGGGGGACAGGGATCAGAACTTTTGAATGAACACAGAGATAAACTTAGTAAAGCACCCACATGAGACACTGGGGACTGTGGGTGTGAGGGAACGGTAAAAGGAGAAAACAGACCGTCTTTGTTGTTCGTCCTTCCAATCAAAGAAGTTACCCTTTTGGATGGTTGAGAAGTTACCCTTCTGGATGGTTGAGATATTAGCTCATCTCTCTGTTAAGTTTATATCACAAGGAGACAAGTCAGCAGAGAGCAAGCAATAGACCTGAAGGTTTCAGAAGATGCTGACATCGGGGAGGACGGCTAACTATGAAGTTTTTTACAACCCATCATGAGTTCTTGCTGTGTGGAGGAACTAACTTTGCCAAGGAGGTGGGTAAGGAGGGGGAGATTCTGACTCCTGGAGCCTGCAGTCTTGGAGATAGATTCTACTCATAAAAAATGATTTAAGAGATTGTGTGTGTGTGTGTGTGTGTGTGTGTGTGTGTGTGTGTGTGTGCGCACGTGCTGGAGAGATAGCTCAGAGGTTCAGAACACTGGCTGCTCTTCCAGGGTTCCTGAGTTTGAGCCCAGCACCCACACGATGGTTCACAACCACCTATACTCCAGTTCCCTCCAGGGATCCAACCCTCTCCTGAGGCCTCTGAGGGCATGAGACACACAAGTGGTGCAGATATACACATTCATGTAAGAGGGAGGAAGAGACGGGGATGTTTGAGGGGTCATATGAGAAGGTTCTGCTTGCTGCCCAGGCTGATGAATGACTTCAGTCCCTGGATCCTAACAGGATGGGAGGGGAAAACCAATTCTCAAAGGTTGTCCTCTGGCCTGTGACAGCATACCATGGCACACACGCACCCCATTCCATAAATGTAAATAAACAAGACTGGTGACAGATGTTCAAAGCCAGCTTTAGGCAGAGGGTGATGAGAGCCCAGAAGTTTAATGAGATTATAACATACAGGCCAAGCCTATCCATATTATTGTCTCCCACACCCATCCTGAGTTGAAGGTTGATAACAAAACGAAAGCAATTATGATTTAAACCAGTGAGTCTCAACCTTCCTACTGTCGTGACCCTTTAATCTGGTTCCTCATGCTGTGGTGACCCCCAACCATAAGATTATTTTCAATGTTACTTCATAGCTGCAATTTTGTCCCTGCTATGAGTCATGATGTAAATATCTGATAGGAAGGATATCTGACACGCAAGTCCTGTGACCCACAGGTCAAACCACTGATTTAAAGTGATTTAAAGTGATTTAAAGTGATTTAACGTGTTCAGGTGTTATTCTTGGGTGCCCCTCCTCCATCTTCCTTTAATTTTATTTATTTATTTGGTTTATTTATTTATGATGAGTACACTGTAGCTGTCTTCAGACACACCACAAAAGGGCATCGGATCCCATCACAGATGGTTGTGAGCCACCATGTGGTTGCTGGGAATTGAACTCAGGACCTCTGGAAGAGCAGTCAGTGCTCTTAACCGCTGAGCCAGCTCTCCAGCTCTAATTTAATATTTTTTCAGACAGGATCTCACCTTCATTTTCTACTTAGTCCACTTGAAATTGTATTGTTTTGTGCTCGTATCACAGCCCTCTAGACCCTCCTTTCCCTCTCCCGTGCCCTCAACCAGGGTGGAGAACATGGGCTCTTTGGTGAGGTCACACTGCTTGGATGATCTTCTCAATGGAAAGCAGACATTCTAAACTCTAACCCTTTGAGTTCTTGGAGCGTTTTCCAACTGGCCTGAGGAACAGTGTGAGTGGTACCATGTAAGTATGGATAATGTCTGTTTCTTTACCTGGCACAAATGAATGATTCCCTTTACAGGAAAAACAAAAACAAAAAAACAAAAAGAGAAGACGACTTGTCCTAGGATTGACATAATATTTTCCATTCATTCTTGTAAGGCTAATATTTTTTTTTGGAGGCACTCATGGGATGGATTAGACTAAGAAATAAATGTGGTTTTTGTTGTTGTTTTTTCAAGACAGGGTTGTCCTGTGTAGCCCTGGCTGTCCTGCAACTCACTCTGTAGACCACACTGGCCTTGAACTTAAGAGATTCACCTGCTTCTGCCTCATGAGTGCTGGGATTAAAGCTGTGTACCACCACCACCACCACCACCACCACCCCAGGCCCTTTTCCCCCCTTAATGAAGTGGCTCAAAGTTGTAAGGGTTTGAATGATTCTGTATCTTCGGGATTTAAGCATCAGGAGATGGACTTAGTGGGTGCTGAGCTGGAGGACAGACAGAGATAGACAGACAGTAAAGCAGGAGGAACTTGGTGACTGTGGATGAGCTGGCTGGCATTTCAGTAGTCCTCAGCCTGGAGGCTCTTGCAGTGTCTTGGAGATAGAGCACAGTCAGGCTGGGAAGGCATTAGGAAAGCAGGCAGAGAAGGAGCATTAGGAATCCTTGCTTAGCAGCTGAAGGAGGGAGAGACCAGCGTAGAGGGCGCACAGGTGGGGGAGAGTGTCTGGATCCCACGTGTACTGGGGGCCTGATCTCTGGACTTCCAGGCCACTTAGCCCAACCAGTGCTTCCGTTAGGGTCAGTTCCTCCTCTCCCAGGGAGGAGAGCAGATCAGGCCGCAGGGGGAAAACACCCTCTTTATCTTGCAGGAAGTTCTGCTCCATGGTGCTTTCGACCTGCAAGGGACCAAGGTGACCTGGAAATGAGGAGCTGGGAAGCCTTTCTCTCTTCTACCAGAGGCAGGAGATTACCCTAAGCATCTAGGGAGAGGAGAAGACTTTTCCCTAGGGAAAACGCTGGGACCTCTGAGCACAGTAGGTCTGCATGCTCCCATTGGTTCTAGTGCTCCCCACCCCCAAACTCTCCCTGGCATCTGTCACTTTTTCTCACCAGCTTCAGCTGCACTGGTAGGATCTTTTTCTCCAAGGATTTTACTAGAAGCTTCTGTTGGGCTTCACTTAGCACTGGAGGGAAAAGCAGGGAAAGAAAAAAACAAAACAGTGTGTTGCTGGTACAGAAGGAACTATAGACTCCAGACAGTGTTAGCACACTCTAATAAATCAATCCATGCATTCACGCATCCATCTGTCTGTCCAGCCATCCACCCCTCCATCTATGCATACCTGAACATCTGTTCTATTACACACACCTTTGCTGGCCATTAAATTAAAAAAGTTGTGATCCTTGACGGGTAAAGTGACACACACTTTTAATCTTAACATTTGGAAGGCAGAGGTATATGGACCTTTGTGAGTTCGAGGCCAGATTGTTCTACATAGGGAGTTCTAGGCCAGCCAGGGCTACATAGTGAGACCGCATCTAAAAAACAACGCCAACCCAAATTCTAATCTTTCGCTGCAGTTTTGGGGAGAAGTCATGTGCTTTCTATTTGTTTTTGAGACAGGATCTCATTCTGTAGCCCAGCGTTAAGTTAGGGACTCTGTACCCAAGGTGGCCTCAGATCTACAGTGATCCTCTGGCCTCAATTTCCTGAGTGTTGGAATTATAGGCATGAGCTACCTACCACACTGTGATTATCCAGGGTGTTAAGGGAGCTATAGCTGAGGAGTTTCCTTTGGGCTTGGCATTTGACAGAAAGTTCTCCACCCACCCACAATTTTTCTTTTGGAGACAGGGTCTTACTATGTAGCTCTGGTCATCCAGGAACTCACTATGTAGACCAGGCCTTGAACTCACGGAGATCCTCCTGCTTCTGTCTCTCCAGTGCCTAGTATGCCTAGCTCTTCCCCCACTTGTATGTGTGTATATGTTGTGTGTACACATGAACATATACATGTATGTGTTCAAGCACACTCAGGTGCGTGTCATGGTGTGTATATGGAGGGAGAAGACAAATTGTAGGAGTTGGTCCTCCCCAGTGTGGGTCAGGGAATTGAATTCACAAGGTCAGGCTTGGTGGCAAGAACCTTTGCTCACTGAGCCGTCTTATGACCCTTGAAAAAAGTAGGAAACGTCTCGGCTTATGTCTAAAGGACTCAGAGTTTTTTGTTTGTTTGTTTTTTTTTTTTTTTTTTTTTTTTTTTTTTCGAGACGGTTTCTCTGTGTAGCCCTGGCTGTCCTGGAACTCACTCTGTAGACCAGGCTGGCCTTGAACTCAGAAATCTGCCTGCCTCTGCCTCCCAAGTGCTGGGATTTAAGGCATGCGCCACCACTGCCTGAGTTTTTGTTTTTTTTTTGTTTTTTTTTTGTTTGTTTGTTTTGTTTTTCGAGACAGAGTTTCTCTGTGTAGTCCTGGCTGTCCTGGAACTCACTCTGTAGACCAGGCTGGCCTCGAACTCAGAAATCCGCCTGCCTCTGCCTCCCGAGTGCTGGGATTTAAGGCGTGCGCCACCACCGCCCGGCGAGTTTTTGTTTTTTAATTGGGAAAATGTGTCATGTGGAGGGGAGGAGAAAATACAGGTACAATATCAGAAGAGTAGTGATTCTGAAATTAAAGCTAACAGGTGGGCAATTTAACAGGCAGGCACTCTAACAGGCAGGCAATCTAACAGGCGGGCAAGCTAACAGGTGGGCAAGCAACGTGGAAGTGATGGACTTAGCCCCATGCAGAAGGTTTGAAAAAAGTAGCAAAAAATAAAAATGGACGAACTGAAACCAATTTGGTGGTGATATCTCTCTCTCTCTCTCTCTCTCTCTCTCACCAGGATTGAATTCAGGCCTTGTGTATGTTTGTACACATACACACACACTCGAACTACTGTAATATAAGCCACCTGGTGTCATTCATTTGGGAATTCATTCACACGATTTACTCTTCGAAAGAAACCCACCCGACTCATTTCTCACTCACCTGTCAGAGCCCCAAGGAAGTAGAGGATGGCATCCATAGCGTCCTTTGACAGCAGAACATCTTTGGGAAGTGCTTCCAGGGTCACCTCGTGTCCCTTGTCTAGAGCCCCTTCAAGCTGTGTGGAAAACTGGGTGACTAATACTCCAGGTAAAGGTTTAACCTAGCACTTGGCACACAGTAATCTCTGAACCAAGGTTGACTCTCTCCCACCTCCTGTTTCTCTTTCGTGTGGTCCGGTCCTAGTAAGTGCTAGACTGGTAGTAGCCTCCTTGGTCCCTGGGTTTTGAGCTCTGGAAGGCCCAAGCTTTTATCCAGCAGAGGGCGCCACAGGCCTATGGCTACCCTCTGGCCATCAGAGGGCGCGCACCACTTCCGGGGACCCTGTACTGAGGCTCTGTTTCAGGGACAAAGGGGCCAGTGGTGGCCCAGCAGCCGAGGTACACTTGGCCAGCCTTGGGAAGAATATCTGCTATTTCTTCCACAGCTCCCCCACCCCACACACACACTTCTTGTGTCCGAGCTCTCACCGTCTGCTCAAGGTCCTGGAGCTCTTTCTTCTTTCCTAGGAGATGTCTGAGAGAAGTGAGTAGGGAGCTTCGCCCCACTGGACTCAGCTTCTCCACTTCTTGAGTCTCTCGCTGAACCTCTTCTTTTAATGTCTTGAAGTCTTCGTGCATCTCCCCTAGGGACACAGTTAATGTGGCAGGCACTCCTTCACGTGGTGCCCTCTCACCCTGTCCGTACGTTCTGTAGGCTTCGTGCCACCTTCCTCAGGACCCAGTGCCCTGCTTCCAGCTTGAATCTGACTTTTCCTCTTTACCAAGGGGTGTGGTTATGGAGTGATGCTAAAGCCTTGTTATGAAAGATGGAGCAAAGAGGTGGACTAGACCCTCGCTTTCAGCTAACATGACGGTTATTCGCACTACCGTCACCGCCCCCGTATCCCAGGATTCATCCTCTATCAGTGCACAGCTGACTTCCGGTTTCAACTACTTCACCCAGACATTTCGGGGGAATCTGTTTTCCCTTCTCTTGAGTTTGTGGACAAACAATGGCTTTGACAATTTAATGATGAGGAGACTGGGACTGTTTCAGAGAACAGTGGGTCTGTATCCAGGGATGGCTGCGAGCTACAGCTTGTCTGTTTAGCGACCTGAATCCTAAAAATACGTCTAGTCGGCGTTGGTGGGATTGGCTTCCTGGAAGTTGCTATAATCCCAGGATCCAGGGCTCGGCCTTTGCCTTTCTCTCCATACCTGTGTAGCAAAGTTTTGAAAGAATGCACAAAACTCCTTACCCACATCAGATGCCTGGATCACTGAGAAAATAAGAGGCAAATAGACAGGTAAGAACACAATTCTTCAAAATGGCAGCCGTCCCCAGGGAGCATGCGAGAGCACCGCCCTTCTAAAACCCAGCTGTCTTCAGAATCCTCTTGCTCCAGTCCCCGGAGGCAAGCATGGAGCAGAAGAACTAATACAGTGTGAAAAGGGCACTCAGGCTGAACTGGTATCACCCAGCAGCTAGGTGACTCAGCACCAGTTGCCCTACTTACTGGCAGCAGATACAAGCGGAACAGGTTGCAGCTAATGAGGCCCCTGACAACAAAAGTCTGGGGCAGGAGATCTCCTGCGCATCTTGTCTACAGAGCTCCCCTTTCTACTGTTTTTATTGGAACTTCTTATTCTTATCCTAACTTCTTATTGGAAGTTCTGCTGTAATTGAGGGACAGCTGTTTGTTGAGATCTGTCCCACTATCTTCCTGGTCCATCCCATGGAGGAGGAAGGAAGGCGAGGGTTTTGAACTTAAGTCAAAAAAGTTGTGAAACAAAGGGAACACTTACGTATGAACTTCCCTTCTCCTGGCTTTCCTGAAAACACAAAAAAGAACATCTGTCACGACGACAAACTCTTTGCTGACTCTTGCTGAAGCTGTTGCCAAGACAACCTCACAACTCTGCTGTATAGCTTTGGAACACACCCCGTCTCCAACTCTCTCTGTTTCTGATTGAGGATTGGTCCCTGTCTCTCTGTTCCTTCTGGGCAGTATTTATTATATCTCTATCCATCTGAGGACCCAGGGAACAAGAGCAGATGCTCTTGGGGATAGATTATAGGAGCTGCCACTATTTTAGGGTGGGAGTCTTTACCAGATAACACTGGGACAAAAGAGTTATGTGGGGAGCCTATGTGTAAGCTGTGCACCTACCTCCTGGAGGGAAGGTTTGCATGCTGTCATTGCAAACGTGTGGAATGTCTGTAAGGGACAAGAGAAGGCATCAGGCGGTCATTACCATCTTGCCACACCCTTCCTTTTTCAGCCTCAAGCCCAAAGCTCCTCAAATGCCCCATCTAATTCTTCACCTGACCTTTACAACTGGAAGTTGTAAGCTCTGGTCTACAATACAACTCCCACCCCCAATCACCGAACCAGTGCTGGTGTCAGGATCTGTCTCTTCCTTGGGCTTGCTGAGGTCAGAGGCTGTGTTCATTTGGCTTTCAGGTCACTCCCCACAGCTTACCCAGTGCCCAGAGACACCTGAAACTCAGGTCTCCTTCACCTTTTTTTCTAGAGCAACCTTTTTTCTGTCTCCAGCCACGGGCAGTATAAGATGCTGCCCACCCCCACCCCCATCCCCTCACATTGCAAGAGAGAACCAGGATGCTACTGCACGGTTGCAGGCAACCCTTATCTTGAGGAGAGAACATGCTGGTCTCTGCTCACCCCACTCATCTTTCCCATTGACCATCAGTTGTCTCACTCGATAGGCCAGGACACAGCCCTTGGGGATGGTTACAGCCTCCTTGTGGTTCACGGAGCCCTAGGATTACACAAGGAGAATCTGTGGGTTCTCTGAGGTCCATAGGAGGAGGGGCGGGATGCAGGTACAGGGCTAGGTCTGAGAGTCTTTGAGGACACAGGTGGTTGGAAAGCCTTCAGTAGGACCTCCAGTTGCCTTTCTTTGTGCTCTGAAGTTATGGGCCTTGAAACTTTTCCATTCGTTTCTTTTTTTTTAATATTCATTTATTTATTTTATGTATGTGAGTACACTGTAGCTTCAGACACACCAGAAGAGGGCATCAGATCCCATTACAGATGGTTGTGAGCCACCATATGGTTGCTGGGAATTGAACTCAGGTCCTCTGGAAAAGCAGTCAGTGCTCTTAATCACTGAGCCATCTCTCCAGCCCCCTTCCCATTCATTTCTCGTGATCACCTCCTACCAAGCTATGCCTGCTTCTGGATTGGACAGGGGAAGGGAACTGGACAGACCTGCTCTAGTACTTGCCTGTGTATAATCCTGCCTCACATCCAAGTTCCTCCTTCTCTGTACCAGCTGCCCGTTCTTATCTCATTCAGGAAGTCTTCCCCTGGCTCTCTCCTGGCTCCCAATCCCGTACCATTCCTCTTGAACACACTCACTAGATGTATGTATAGATTATAAGAGATGCATTTATTTCTACTGGGCTTTAACCATGTGACTCATCCATAAGTAAGAACATTCTGAATGCAGGAAACTGCCCTCATCCTGGGATCTTACTAGGTAGCCCAGATTGACTTTGAACCTGTGACCCTCCTGCCTTTGCCTTCAGAGTTCTGGGATTACTGGTGTGTATCATCATACCAGGCAGGAGTTCTGCTTTTCAGCTTTGGCAGGAGAGCAGGGGAGGGATGAGGACAAATCCTGTAGCACTTAACCTGGTCTATATTGTCTGTGCCACATAGAGACCAGCTGTGCTGGGTACCACTGAGCAAAGGACGGTTTATGTGGTCTCTCTCTCTCTGTCTCTGTCTATTTCTATCTGTGTCTGTCCATAGCAAACCTGTAGTCCCAGTGGGGCAAAGAAAGGGAGAGAGAAGCAGCCCTCTGCCTTGCCAGCTCGCTCCAGAGTGACCTCCTGCACGGTTTCCACCACCTCCATCACCACATACAGGTTCTCCCCGCGTTCCCACATCTCCTTCAGGAATGGGTGGTCTGCTGACAGTTTCCTAAGGCAGTAGAAGCACAAAGACACCACACTCAGCGTTTCCTCTCCAGGGCCACCACCTGTGCTTTGTGTGTGTGTATATATATATATATTTTTTTTTTTTGAGACAGGGTCCCACTATACAGCCTTGGATGGACTGTTTAGACCAGGGTGGCCTTGAACTCACAGAGATTCACCTGCCTTTGCCTCTCAAGCACTGGGACTAAAGGTGTGCCACTATGTCCCGAAGTGTCTGCTTTTTAATCTGTCAATCCTAGACAGTACGGTGCCAGGGAAGGAATGAGGGCTCAGATCAGGCCACAGTGCACACTCAGACTTCTGCTTCCTGCCAGGGCAACTGCTTTGAGTCTGAGGTGCCTCATCTATAAAACAGAGATGACGCCAACTACCTCCCAGGGTGCTGAGATAAACTGTGCAAACAGCTGGAGGCTCAACACCTGGCCTCTCCACTTCCTCCTTCTTCTTGCTTCCGTATGAAAACATGTCTCTATCCTTACAAAATCTCCTTTTGTTCCTGAATACTCCTTCAAATCACCACCCTACTTCTTTCCTTCACCTACAGGCAAATCTCTCAAAGGGTAAGCCACACTCACCATCTGTGTCTTCATCACCCCATCGGAATCTCACTCTGCTGAAATCACAGTGACCCCCCCTCACTAAACTGGGTGATCTCCCTAACTGTGGACCGCACTGGATCTTCTGTCCTTCTGTGCCTTCCTGTCTTCTCTGGGCTTCCAATTGCATGCTGTTTCGTCTGCTCTTGTCTTTCTGGCTCCTAAATCACACAACGTCTGACTTCCCTTTTCCAATTGATTTGGAACCTTAATATTTTATGCCCTCTGAGATTTTGGTGTTTCGTGTGTGTATGTGTGTGTTGTACACTCATGAGTCTGTGTGTTTGTATGTACGTGAGTGGGGGTCGGGTATGTATGTGGGGGTCGGGGGTCAGAAGAAAGCATTAGATCCCCTGCAGCTGGAGTTACAGGTGCTTGTGAACTCACTAATGTGTCACAACTGGGAACTGAACTCAGGTCCTCTGCAAAAGCAGCAAGTGCTCTCAGCCACTAAGCCGCCTTTCCAGTCCCCAAGATTCTGTTTTTCTGCCTCCGTTCTTTGAGTGTTCTCCAACTTCCTCATCCACCCTCGACCTGATTCCTACCATCTTACTCTGTATCTTGCTGACCCCCAAGTGTGCATCTTTACGGCGACCTCTCTGAGTTTCCAGCCCCCTTTCCTGCTACCTGTTCAACAGTCTCAGGTAGCACTCCAGCTGTGACACAAAAGGAGCTGACAATCGTCCCCACAGAACTACATCTCGCTGGCCTTCCTGTTTGTGTCACTTGTTTGTCATATTTAATGTCTTGTAATGACACAACCTAGGTCACTACGACTCGGAGTCATCTTTAACAAATCTGTCACCCTGCAGTCAGCTGCTGAGTTTAACCCACTTCATCATCCTTTGCAATAAACCTGGCACCCACGCCTCCCTGCATCCTGGCCATGGCTCCCCGCATCCTGGCCACTCCCCCCAGCTCATGTCCTCATTTTATTTCTCTGATGGATAGCGGGACAGTGTGTTTCTGTCCACCTTCCTCTCTCTAATGCACTTCTTCCATCTGGTCAGGGCAGTCACGACACACATCAAAGCAGCGTCAGGGAATCGAGTTGGGCTCTCCCTGGTGTCCGATACTTGAACTCCTGGACCTGTTTCTGGTTCCTATCTACTCTAAGTCCACCCTCCGTCTTTACCTCCATCTTTTGCTTCATCTATTTGTCTCTCCCTTCTTTGCATCTGGGCACTGGCTAGTTGGTGGTTCCTATTGGTTTGGAGACATCTCAAAACAGACATCTCACCTATACGTCTCTGTAAAGCCCGTCTCCTTTCCTTGCATGACCAATTTATACCCATCATTCAAGGCTGAATCCAAGACTACTGCCGCGTGAGGATTTGCCTCACGTCCCCAGCCAGAAGCCCCTCCCCTTGCTGCAAGTCCAGCTGAATGCTTCTCATGCTCTTATTGCTTCTTGCATTCCGTAGCTACTCTTTAGTTCTTGGTTTTTCAAGACAGAGTTTCTCTGTGTAACCCTGGCTGCCCAGGAATTCACTCTGTAGATGAGGCTTGGCCTCGAACTCAGAGATTCTCCTCCATCTGCCTCCCAAGTGCTGGGATTAAAGGCATGCACCACCACGCCCAACTAACTAATTACTCTTGGGAATTGAACTCAGGACCTCTCTCAGAGCAGCCAGTGCTCTTAACCTCTGAGCCATCTCTCCAGCCTCGGATAATTACTCTTCTTCTGTAGTTTTCACCCTCCTACACCTCAAGGTTCTTGGATGTAGATGTTCTAGGTACACCAGCATGTAGTAGGGTACTTAACACTCAGTGAGAACTCTGTAAATGTTTACTGGATGACTCAAGCCTTTCTTTCCCCTTCCGGCCTCTCAAGTCCTCACCTGCTTCTGTCAACCACTACTTAATTATTTAAAAGTCAGGTTCCCTGTCAAGCCAGACGCGTGCCAGAGCCGTGTATGAACATTGGTTCTGCCACACCCCTTTTTGCTCGGGCAGTGGTCCCCAGGTGTGTGGATGGAGCCAGTCTGAGGCCTGTTTTATGGGAGTAGAGGGCCGGACAGTCTCAGTAAGGGACAGTTACTACAAACTTCTGACTTTTCCATTGCATTTCAGCATCTTAGGGTTGAAGGGACCTTAGGACCTGTCCTCCGTTTCATCTTGCTCTAGCAAAGAAAGCTGGGGTTCCTCACCACCGAGCTCTTTTCCCACCCCCAGGAGAATTCTCTTCAGGGATTGGTAAAGGTCAGGGTGAGGGGCCTATCCTCCACCTGTGACTCAAAGCATCATCTGCACACTGCCAAACCCCATCCTGTCAGCCCCTCACCCCCGTCCTCTCTCACCTCTCCTTGTGCAGGTTCTCCAGAGCCTTGGGAGCCACGCTGAGTGTCTGCACCTCCAGTGTGCTGCTTCTCGACAGGCCCGCAGTCCCCTTTACCTTCACTGTCTTTGGCACGTCCACATCCCCCTCTACTCGGGCATCCAGCATATTCTTAAAGCCAAAGCTCCCACTGTCTGTTGGATCTGCAGGAGGGAAAAGACAGAAGGAGCTGAGCTGGGAAGCACCCCCACTTGTCAGCATCCCTAGAGAGAACTTTGGGCTTGATGACACCTAACCACATCAGGGGGAAGAGCTTGAGAATCTTCTTTGTGGTCCAGGTGGCTGGCCCTAGCCCTACAGAATCCTTCAGAGCCCAACTCTGCTTGAGAGGCTGACCTGAGGGGGAGCTGCCAGGCTCCAGCACATCCAGGAGAGTGTAGTCGGTGCGGACATAGCGGGCTCCCCAGAATAGTGTGCTCTTCCTCTTCCTCAGCACCAGGCAGAAGGGATGGAAGCGTTTGAAGTCAATGAGGCTGTCTAGGGGTGTCAGATCCCCTCGAGGGTTCAGCTGTCTAGCTAGAGACCGGGTGACATTCTCAAACATAGTCATTGTCTCTGTGGAGAAAGAGATGGAGAATGTCAAGGTGGCTGCCAGGGTCGTCAAGACCTGGTAAGGACTTTGTAAAGTGGTTGTCACCAGGCTTCACTCCTAGAGCTGGGGGACACAATTAGAGCCGCCTGGGTTTTTGAATGTTGGATCTGGAAAGAGCCCAAGGAGTCCTTCTTTTGTGATGGAAGATCCCAGGCACTAGAGTTCACACAGCTGACACAAGATGCCAGCCCTCCCCTTTGCCAAGGGTTCTTCTTTTCTCATTCCATCTTCATTTCTTCACTGCCACAGAGCCCAGCTGGAATATGTCATCAACAGGGGAAGGGAGGCTTCCTCTAACACTAAGGGACAGTTGAAATTAGGACCTGGGGACACTAGGGAAAGGAAGCAACCCCACTGGGCCCAGGAGCCTCGGCAGTCAGAGCTGGGCAGCTTCCTCAGTTGTCCTTTTCTTGGCAAGGGTATACTTGCTCGTACCCTGCACTTCTCTTCCACCCGCCTCCCAACAACATGGCTAAATGTGGGCCAGTTTCCCAGGCTCTGTCCCGCTTGCTTCTTTGCCTTTGTTAGTTCTGCTTACGATCTATCCCCTTTCCAATCAAAAGAATTCATAGTTGTCCTATAAGATGCAACTCAGACCACCTGCTCACCCCTTTACTTCCCTGGGCATTTTGGTGACTCTGCCTGTATTCCCAAGGCGCCTTGTGTATCCACTTCTGAAACACCTGCTAATTCATCTTGTTACCACCTGTTCACCTGACTGCCTCGCCTACTCAACTGTGACTTCCCAGAGGGCAGGAAATGGGCCTTAGTCACCTCTACAGCATCAGCACCAGGCACCGTGTCTGGTAGAAAGAAGGATAGAAAGATTGAATGTGGTCCTGGGAGACATGCTGGGGGAAGAGTGTCCAAGAGGATGTGGGAGCTGCAAAGACTGGAAGTATGACATCTTAGGTCTCTGTCTTGAAGTTGAGGTATCTCACCTGGGCATCCAGGAGACACACCCAGATTTTCCTGGTGGGTGGAAGAGGTCAGACACATCAGCCAGTCTCCATGGGCCTCACCTTTCTGTAGTACTTGACAGAGGCAGAGAAACAGGAGCGTACACAGATATATGGGGCCACCCTGACATCTATAATGTGCCTTTTCCTGGAAGGGTTGTGATGGCATATGTCCCTAGAGGAACCAACTGAATGTACCTAGAAGTACCTACCCTTCACCAAACAGGCACTCAAAGGGCTACCTGTCTTCTCTCTAAGGCCTACCATGATTCCTACTCTCAGTGAAATTCAGGGGACTTTATGACCATGATAAAGGATAAGAAATCTCATGCCCGTTTGGTCTCAACCTTTCCCCTAAAACCCCAGAATATCCCCCTACCTTCTCAGCTGACACGATCTTACCAGGGAGGGAGTGATGCTGGGTCCTGTCCGGCAGCCAGGTGTGTGGTGAGGAACCAGAGCTTGTTCTGTCTATAGACAGGTTGAGAGAATGACTGAATGTCCCTTACCAGGACAGGCAGCTTTATGCCTCTGTGGAGGCGGGGATTTAGGTTCCCACAGACCCCGCCTACCTAAAATGACCCCACCCCTTTTTGTTCCACTTCCAGGAGAACAGCATCAACCTGTTTGAAGTGTGCCCTGCCTCAGGCCCTGGGCCCTGGCCTCCTAAGAGATGAGGGGGTGGTAGGGAGATGCCAGGCAGGTGTCTGTGTAGCTGGGGCTGAGACAGAAAGAAATGGCGACTGAAAGTTTGCTTGTGGACTTTGGGGAGCAAGGGAGGCAGTGGGAGTTGGCTGTGTGCGCATGTGTGTGTGTGTCTCTGTGTGTGTCACTCACGCATGTGTGTGAACATGTGCAGGAGGATCACTTCTCTGGTATCATTATGGCCCATTTGGACGCACCCGCGATTCATCTGAGGCCTTTTGGGAGTGATGCGTGATAAATCCTGTATGTTCAGGGACTACAGGCAGCAGAGCAGCTCAGAACGTGTCCTTCTTCTTTGTGTGCATCAGCCTGTTGATTCCTGCCTC